TCTGTCCTGTCAAAACTCTATCCGAATTACCACCTAAAAAGTGAGTTCATACCCCCGTATTTTCATAATTTCTACTGTGCTAAGGGGGGGAATACAAGTATAACACAACAACTTTGTGTTATAAATAAATGATTTCAAATCACGATAAAACAATTTTAAAGCATCGAAAATACTCCAAATATTGAACTCTTTTATAAACTTATAGTTTTCCCAAATATACATATATATATATATATATATATATATATATATATATATATATATATATATATAAGATTTAAAAGGCTTAGGACTAAAAATTCATTCTAGGTCCTTTTCCTTGTTTGGATGTGGACTTATAGTACCGGTTATTTATCCGAAGGTCGTTTAAATTTTACTTATATATAAAATTGTATATGTATATAAATATATAAGTAATCTCATCAGTTTAAATACCCTTTGTAATATATTGAGCAAAGGATTACATGCAAAAATAGTTATTACCAATTCATAAAGTACATATAAATTTTAATAGGTATAATTTATAATACATAGAGCAATATTACATGATTTAAGTATACATGAATACATTGTTTTACATATAACAAGGGTTTTAATTCAAAACAAATCAAGCGTTTACACTTGTCAAATACATGTTCGGAATACTAATTCAAGAACATACTATCAATCATTTATTTCATAATGATTGGGTTTTCATAACTAATATACATGTAACGTTTATATGCTTCTTATGAGACATTCAATTCAGGTTGTTTAATTAAATTTGGACAACCAAGGTAAAGCCCCGACATTATAACCAGAATCTCCAGTCCGGGGATCGAAACAAGTTGTGTGTAGATCTATATCGGGATTGACAACCCCGGACTCAGGCTGCTAGCTACAGTCAGGCTTACACACCAATGAGTGATAATTGTTATCAACAATTTAAGCGCTCACAAGGCGTTTGTTTCAGGTGTTCATGTCTTAGTATAGTTATAATAACTCATTACAAAGATATTAACAACACGTTAGTGTATAAACAACTAAACGTAAGTACATCTTCAAAGTACTAGTTTACAAAATACAAAGTACAATGGTATACTACAGTTTTCAATAACAACTGGCGAAGCCAGGCACACACTTAGTTACAAGTTTTACAAATACATTGGTTTACAAATAGGACGGTTTTATGGGAATAAAACTACTTTTCACATACCACAGAAAATATGGGATTTTCTAGAACAGTTTTTATATTCAAAATACAAAGACACCCATGCAAACATAAAGACTTATGTACTCACTCAACTTATTGTTGATACTCTCTTTTCAAATTACTTGTATTCTCAGGGAAATAATAACAGGTACTCCCCAAGCTTTTTGAGAAGACAGAGCCATTATGAGTCTTATCTTCTTCTTTTGTATAACTGTTTTGGTTTCAATATACAATGATTGAACACATGCAAATATTATACTTCTAAATACAATGGTTGTTTGTACTTTGATTACTATGATGCATGTGTTGTGATACTACAAATGAAGTACTCCACCCCCGGACGTTTCCGCCATCTGGTTTGCGGGTGTGACAGGTTGGAACAGATTCACACTGATAATAATGTGGTGGATCTGTTCACCAAATCATTTAACAAAGTTCAATTCGATGTGTTGGTTGGCTTTCTTAAAATTATTTGATTTGAAGACTGAATTTTGTTTTAGGTTAGTTTAAATTTGTGCATTTAATTTCCTTTCTCTATATGTATAAATTAAGGGGGAGAAATTAAAACAAAACAAAAATCATAAAATTCAAAAATCCAAAAAAAATAGTGTCTTATGATAGCCTGTCTGCAGGTGATGTGTTGGGAAGTGATATCAACTCAGTGATAACCGGCAATTTTTCTTTATGTAAGGTAACAACCCTGAATTGTCTAGGCTCTGTGTTCGATGAGTTGGTACGCACGAAACATTTTAATGGACCAAACTAGGTTTATATTGACATTTAAAAAGGGACTTGACAAGGAATTCACTTAGATAGTTCCGTTTGGTCTGACAATACAACGCTCGGGTAGATTGAGTAGTGAGATATACATGGGAATCTCCAGGCTACACTAAAGTAATCTATATCTAGAGATGTGGCATAACTTTTCCTCGATGTATGGACGCATTTCCTTAATTCTGGTACTGGTAGGGCGACTGGGAATTCTGATAAAGTAGATCTGTAGAAAGTTATTTTTGTTGCTTTCTTTCTGTTAGTGATATGTTGCCTCCTCTTCATGATCTCAAGATCCGACCTGGATTGCAACATATGCAACTCTATTTCTATGCATCTTCTTATATATGCAAATTCTTTTTGTCTGTTAGTAATATAATGTCTGCTTTGCGTGATGAGTTCTTATCCGACCTGGAACACAGTATATGAACCATTCTATTTTTTAATCCCTCTATCCAGTTAGTCATATGTTAATCCATCAGCGTGATTGAAAGATCCGTCCTCGGTGTACTACATATACCTTCTAAATCTGCCTTCCATCCTAATAATTTTCTGCTTATCTAAAGTAAGGAGTTTTCAGGAAGTTCTTGATTACTAGTGTATGTCAGGAAGTGGGAAACACATTCTAGTTCATCTAAATTGAACATTCAATAGGTTGTCTATAGATCTCGCTACTAAATTTAGGTAGACAACAATATCTGTGGTCGTCGTAAGCTAAATGGTCTTCTAGGAATATTAGTTAGGATCATAGGGTCAAATGTCTTGTCACCTATATCATGTCCAAATTTGTCATAATTTTTCGTGTTTAAAGGGACCACACTACCGACAATTGACCAGATCTTGTCATGAAGTTGGAGGTACTGAAAAACCGATTAAGAACTTTGATCACAAAAATCCAAAAATGAAGATCTAAGTGGTAAAAAGATATTAGTGTTATTTTATTTTATTTTATTCTCTTTTTTTCCTAAAAATTAAGAAATTAAAAATTGCAAAATTAATTTAGTTTCAATTTATAGATTTTATTTTATTTTAAATTTAATTTTTTAAGTCTTCAAAATGTTTTATATTTAATTAAATTGAAGTATTGGGATTAGATTCGAAGCTTCTTGAGTTTGCAGTCCATGGGCTTTGAGCCGTGAATGGTCCAGGTATATATAGAAGGATTCTCGACTGAAATCCCTTTTACCCTCATTTTTTGTTTACAGATGTAAACCCTTCATCCAGATTCTCTCTCTCTCTCTCTCTCTCTCTCTCTCTCTCACATTTCACGATTCATCACAAATCTGTGTTTTTCATCCGAATTTGCTTGCTAAATCCTGTAGGTACATCAAATGCGAACTCAATACAAGCGTTTATCATAAAAATCGATTGCATTTTGACGGTATATTGAATCAAAATCATTTTTTCAGAACTGTTGAAGTGTTTACGGCCGTTGAACAATTCACGGTCGAGGAAGCGTTTACGGTCGTGCAGCTGTTTGCGGCCGTGAACCCTCTTTTGACATAAAGACATTTTTTATTCAATTAAATTCAAAAATTAAAGCCTAACTAATTGATATTTGAGAAAACTTAATTTTTAATGATTTAAATCATTTGTTTTCTCACTTGGCTCGATTGGTGTAGATCAAAATGGCAGAATTAAGATTTTCAGGCAATCACAACGTTGCCACCTTGTTGATGGACGCACCAGCTGCACATAATGATTTTAAGTCCATGATTCATGGATTGAAGAGATGTTGCCTCGCTTATGCTTTCACGTCAAAACCGATCATTTATCAAGACCTTGTAAAGAAGTTTTTGGAACAAGGTTGTTTTACTTAAAAGAGAAGATGGTGCGGACTCTATATAATCAACTATTAATGGAAATAAGATTATAGTGAATGAGTAAACCATCCGTGAAGTGTTACAAATCAATGACCAGCCAAGGTTTCCAACTGAGATCTCCATGGAATAGACTTAGGAAATCATTGAGCGAATGAGCGATGAGGGAGTGTTTCCTCCCACTATTAAGAAGTTGTTGCCACCTTCTTGGAGGTTCCTTGTTCGTGCTTTCATGAGCTGCATCTCAGGAAGGAGAGTTGGTGCTGACGAGATCTCTCTACTCAACACGGGTGCTATTCCGACTCTCTCTATGGGTCTCGATTTCAACTTCTCAAGATACATCCTGAGTGAATGATAGGCAACATGGAAGGAAAGACGAATGATATATTCTTGATGTTTTCGAGGTTTCTACAAATGATATTCAACAACAAATATCCGAAGTTTGAAAGAAAAGGAGAAACCTTAGATCTATAGTCCCTTGGATCAGACTCTTTTGGTCTCATGAAGCATAATCGAAAAGGAAAGTTTATGTTTGAGGGAAAATTTCCATTGGTGAACTTTGTCCAGTTCGCAAAAGCTAGTGATGTAACTGAGTCTGAAGAATCCTTAGATGATGAAGAAACTGAAGATGAGATTATTATTGCTTCAGAACATGAAGAAGAGCCCGTTCCTCCACTTCCTATCATTGTCGAGGAGCATGTGCATGTTACAAATGAAGAGGCCAATGAAGATGAAGATGCAGAAGATGTTGACGAAAGTGATTTTGAGGGAGGGTTGATGGATAATATGGTAGATGAAGATGATGCTCCAACATGTACTCAGATGGCCGACTATTCAAATATTATGGATACAACTTCAAGGATTCCTCCCCTTCCAATTGTTATTCCAACATCATTGCTATCTGAATGTGATCTCACTTTGATACAACCCTCCCATCCTCCACTGAAAAGACGAAGAGATGATCCAAGGCCGGGAATGCTTATAAGGGAGCAAGCACCGTGAGCTCAACAACCCACGATAACTACGACATGCACATGATAGCGCCTCTAAGAGGCATGCCAGGTTGTTGGCGCAACAAGGGTCCAACCCATCAACCCAAGCCAAAGGTAGAGATCGGAATCCTAGATTAAATAATCATCGAAAATGACGTTTTGATTGGTAATCTTGACATCCGAGTTTCCGAGCTTGAGGAAGAAAATAATTTAAAGTCAAAACAAATGTATACTCTGCATGTCAACCTTGGAGCCCTAACTGCTGGATACTTCAACTTGAAGAACAAGCTTATTGCAGAATTTGATGACAAGTTCAATACCACAATCGAAGATCCAAAGGCAGCCAAGACTTCTCAATTTGCCCCATCCAATACATCACAATCTGACCAGCTTGATAACAATCCTCCAGTCAGAACCACAACAATCGTTGACCAATTTGAAATCAAACCAACTCAAACGCCTCAAAGAGTTACTCTTAAGCGAGCCCGACAGTCGCCATCTTCTAAGAAGATGGGGAAATGGCTCTTCATGAAAAATTCCGATCAAGATGTTCGTGGAGACGAGCCCCAACTCACTATGATTAATCTCAAAAAAAGGCAGTTCAGAGATTCGTATGTGGGGTTTTCACGATAAATTTTGTGGGATGAAGACCGCTGAATCTTTCCTGAAGCTCCATTCTCCAATCCTACTATTGACCATTGTGGAACAAAATTCAAACTCGACTTGGAAAACCAAGTTAAGAGACCATTTGATGGGATGAAGGCAACTGAATCTTTCCCAAAGAGAGCTAAAGACATGTTTGACTCAAATACCAATAAGAACTTAACGAATGTCGTGTGGTGCCCGACAGATCAGATGAAACAAATACCGATTGTGAAGAACTTTTGTGATGGATCACTACGTAAGATGGAATATTGGGTCTATGATGTTGCCACAACTTCTGTTGTCATCAAATTCCCAGATGGTGTCTTTCATATTGTTGACAAAAGGGATCTACTACAATTTGGTGAAAGGGACATCCACACTTTGGCTCATCATGAAATTTTATGCCATAAAGAGATTTTTTAGGCTGCTTCTAAGGAGTTCACAAGCATGATTGCAGAGATTATCGAGAAACAGATGTGGCCGGGTGCAATGGGAAGATCAGATGTGTTGGTCGTCGAGAAAGACTAAATTCATGCTAGCCTCAAACCAAGTGGGAGACTGTTAGGTCATATTTTGTGTGTTTGAGCTAGGCATCAATCTATATAGGTCTTGATAGGGTTTGGTCATGTAATGTATGGCTGTATGGTTATGTGTTTGCGGCTGTATGAGTGTTCACGGCTGTGAACGTGTGTGCGGACATGAACATGTTTGCGGTTGGTTGCTCCCTTTAAATAGGTGTCAGATGTGTCAGATGAACTGTAGTCATGTGTGTGTGTCCAAGTGTACCTGATGTTTGAGGCCTAATAGTCATGTGCATTGTTGGATCATTATTTGCTTCTACTCCTTCTCATTCTTATTGATTATTGATTGTTTGTTTGTTTGATCACTAGTTGGTTCTAGTTTTAGGGACTTACAATAATATCCAAGAATAAATTAAAATTTCAATCTAAGCTTTTAGATTCAAAATGAAGTACATGTATTTTCTCCCTACGAGTTACTGTAGTGAAACAATATCCAAACTTGGAATCTTGAAAATTTGTAACCTTTGTTTCCTATAAATATTATTACAACCTTGCAAAATTTAGTATAATAGTTATGCTTCCACTAGCTTAATAAGTATACTCTTTGTAGCATAACAAGTTTGCTGACTTTAGCACAACACTTATGCTCCCACTATCCTTGACATGTATCGAGAAATCAACTGGACTTCTAGAAATCAATACATATTGACTTTCATAGTAAAGTTTAGATTCATGATACGTGCTACTTTGATAAGCCCTTATCAAGAGTTCTCAAGCTCATACACCTTTCAGATTAAATTCCACAAGTATGTGTTTAAACCTTTCAGAACTTAAAAGAGTAAGTGCCGAATGTTCAAAGTAATTGTCATTTCTCACAATTTGAACTATAAAGAGGGATCCCATAATCATATTCAAATTCGAGAACGCATTTATCACAACTGCTAACTTTAATCCTTTAAAATCTACTTAGTGAAAGCGTTTCCTCACAATCATTATCATGAATTGGAGAGAAACCTTATGTCACTTAGATTTTATGGTGTATGTGCTCCTATCAATATGAATTTGTCGTTTCTAACCACTATCATAAGACAAGGTTTATGACAGATCCACACTCATATGGAATGAACTTATTAAATCTTAATTTCTTGCCATCTGGCAGCATAAGAGTCTTACCATTGCTTCCATGTTATTAATCAGCTCACCCATACAAATCAATGTACTTTCCAATGATCAAAGTGTTTTGCCTTATGCATTCAAATGAGAACTCATAGAACTCACATGCATAGTCAAACTAACTGGAATAGGCACATAAACTATTCAGGTTCATACAAATCTCAAGTAGTGTGCTGGTGATAAAGAATAGGTTTATTTTTATTAGTTCTTGAAACTATTCTGGTTCATTAAGAATCCCACTGAACTCTCGACATATAATATCTCTTGTCAAGAAACATTTCATGATAAAAAAATATTCAAGACTTAGTGCGGGTTCTTATCAAGAAAACACTTCATACAATTGGTCTTTGGTTTATCCAAAACATCACAACATACCAATTTCAAATGTGCAAGAATAAGAGACATTTCTACTCCACATTTCATGAGGCATTATAAACCTACTTAAGATATTTCACTCCATGTACAATCTTCGAGTATGTCTCTAAGACTTGATTTTGGAACGAAGTATGACTCACCTTCTACATTTAACCACTTCATCAATTTCCGATACCTCTTCTTAGTCATGTAAATGCACTAAGGTGTACTTTGAGGATCAATTGTGACATGGTTACATAATCATAATGATGATGATAAAACATGATACTCAAGTACTCTCCTTTCCATTCAGATTAGAGAAAATTTTATCTTTCTCCTTAATTGATTTTTTTTTTCGTTCTGCTATACATTGAAACTTTTCAAAGTATTAGAACTACACTTAATCTTGTAAGTATAACCATATTTACTAAAATTTTAGTAAATTATGATGAATATTCTTTATCATGCTTTGTGGTGGACCTGAGTAGTTCAAATCAATGTGTACTAGATCCTTTATTCCTTCACTTGACTCCCATACATATGTGAACAAGGAATTAGTCTATATTTTCCCAAGTACCAAGCTTTTCATACATCATATAATCCAAATCACATGATTCCAAATGTAACAGCCCGGATCCCCAGGTATCTTTACTTTCATATTTTTGATATTCTGTGAGGGGACTCGGTGAGTTGGAGGTCGAACTCGCCGAGTCGGGTCACGGTTTTTGGCGGAGGTTCGCATCCGGACTCGGCGAGTCCAAGGGATGGACTCGGCGAGTCCGTGCTGTTTAATGAAACCCTAATTTCCCGGTCCTAAGCCCTATTTAAAGGACCTTATGGCCTTCATTGGCGGCCACCTTGAACCCTAAGAGCACCCATACGACTGTGAGCCCTTGTGAGTGTGTTAGGAGGCCATTTGATCATCTTTTTGTGTATTATTGCAAGAAAGGAGGGAGAAGATCAAGCTTGAAGAGTTGGGAAGCTTGGATCTGCTTCTATTTCATCAAGGGAACCTTCTTGAGGTAGCTTTCAGAGCCAAACTTCGTATTTTGGGTTGATGTGTCAAATCTAGGGTTTCTTCTTGCATTTATTGGCTTAAATTGGAAGTATGAAAGGTCCCATGGAGATATGGAACCTAGATCTGGACCTTAGCAGGTCCAGGAGGCCCCATATGACAAGCTTTATGTCCATTCTCTTGAGTTAGAAGCTAGGGTTGCCATATTAGAGGTTATTTCTCCAAAATGAGCCTTGTATGCATTGCATGGCGACCAAGACTGAGACTTTACGTGACAAATAAGCTTGGGAAGGCCAAATCCATGTATGTATGGAACGGATCTGACCGCAAAAGCCAGTTTTAGCTGGTGCATGGCATGGACTCGCCGAGTCTGAGGAACAGACTCGACGAGTCGCTTGAAGATTGTCCTTGAGACCACCCATTGTGTAGTCCTGACCGAGTTGTGGGTGACTGAGTGCGACGCAGAGAGTTGGAAAGGTTTTGACAGGTGGACCGAGTCAAGTTGGGACTCGCCGAGTTGTCCTTGCGACTCGGCGTGTTGAGTCGCGGTGGCCCCGTGATTCAGGCCCAGGTGGAACTCATCGAGTCGGGGGAGTACTCGACGAGTCAAAGGGAAAATCCTTGAGAGTTGGTTAAAACGCGTAGACTCGTCGAGTCACTATAATGCACTCACCGAGTCCGGTCCAAAGTGACCAAAGACTGTTGACCAAGTCAACGTGTGTTAACTTGATATGGATGGTCAACCTTAGTGGTACAAGTAATAATTATAGATTCATGATATCATAGGAGGATTAGAGCTCGAGGGTTCAAGCACGAGTGATTCCAGGATTCACGATTAGCGACTTAGCGAGGCATACGAGGTGAGTCTTCTCACTATACTGTACCCGGAAGGGTTTTGACTGTATGACCGGAAGGTCGAATATGATATGAGATATATGCTTTATGTGCGTTAAGTTATTCGTTATATGTGCCATGTATGATATGCTTTATTTGGGCCGGAAGGCAACATGTTATGGGCCGGAAGGCGTGGTCATATGGACTGTAAGGTTGACGTGGGTAGGACCAGAAGGTTTACCCAGTCGGGACGGAAGTCCCCTGAGACACATGGACCGGAAGGTCAAGGCCTGGAAAGGCGTACGTGCGTACGTTGTATTTTGGGGAACTCACTAAGCATTTATGCTTACCGTTGTTGTGTTATGTGTTTCAGGTACTAGCGAGGACCGTGGGAAGGCACCGGCGTGATCGTACACACACTCGGAGAAACCATTTTTTTGATCTTTTGTTTTTGTAATCGGTTGTGACTAAATTGTTACATTGGAACCTAAACTTATTACTCGTGTTTTGATGATTGTAAAAAAAATGAAAAATTTTTGGTTTGGAATTTTATGACGTTACAAGTTGGTATCAGAGCCTTGGTTTGAGGGATTCGGGTACACCTTCGGGCGTAACTGAACTCAAACCGGGGATTTGAGGAAATTTTAATTAATAAATCAATAAAAATTTGATAAGTGATTTTGAGATAACCAAAGAAGAAAGAGTGTGTACGGTCAGCCAGCGCCCGAACGGTAAAATCCCCAAAATACTCTTACAATATGTGTTATGAGATATGATATGATATGATACGCATGCTAGTAGACTAGGTATACATATTAGGACTAGAGTGGCCTGATTTTATGATGCCTTAGTCTAGGGAAACCTGCTTCTATGAGGTGCTTGAGAGCGAGTGGGTAACTAGTGTATGCCAAGAATAGAGTACTCAGGATTCGAGGTTTGGGGAGGAGGACTTGGGATGAATACCGACGTGGGGTAATTGGTAGTATTGGGCCCGTACTACCAAGGATACTGGGTCAGTGGGCAGCCCAAGTAAGAATCCCTGGGTATCGGAGACTGAGTAGGACTGCGTTATCGAGTGCGATTATGCCCGATAGAGTCTCTGATATTTTTATGTTGTATTTCAGAGACATCATGGTTGGACCACGACACAGACTTGGTACGAGTGGTGTGACTGATGAGGAGCTTCGTCAGATGATTCATGAGGAGGTAGTTGTAGTGATCCGGGCCGAGATTCCGTAGATGTTTGGGTCTATTAATATCACGCTGATGGAGACATTTGATGAGCGGTACGCCACATTGACTGAGGCTGCCGCCGCTGCAGCTACCGCAGTTGTGGCCGCTGCCAGACCACAGGGGGGTGACTCGTCGCTGTTCTGGGAGTTCGGCAATACAAAGCCACCACAGTTTGACGGGAAGCAGGATCCAATTGCTGCGATGAGATGGATTGCTGATATCGAGGGATGCTTCTATACTTGTTCATGTCCGGAGCATCTGAGGGTTCGGTTCGCCCTGAACCAGCTCCGCCT